TATTCTGGAATAAACTTATTGACATCTTCAAAATAGTTTTCTGGACTTTTGACAGGGATTGTGTTGACTCTGTTGATCAAGTTGAGAAGATTAAAAAAGTGTGTTTCTTGTCATTTTGCAAGTTTTCTGAATTTGGTATTTAAAACATATACTACAAAGTGCCTGAGGGGGAGCTTGGACAGCTTCCTGTAGCCTGCCTGGAGGAGGGGCAGCTGCGGCTGGCAGGTTCCTTTGGGGCTGCTGTTCTTTAGTCCAGTCCTGGTTGTGCTGAGGCTGCTCCTGTCATGCTCACCACTAAGGCTCCCTTCAGTGCACCAGGCATCTGGAGGACAGAGAAGCGCTTGGAATCTTTCAATTCATCTGTTTCTCATCACAACAGTGTTTGCCCCAAATCATGCCAGGCACAGTGAGGGAGCTTGCAGTCGCTCCTGTGCCCTACTGTCTCTCCTACAAAGCTGACGCTAGTCGCCATCCCATTATGAGTGAAAGCATCATCTCCAGAAACTGCTTCCTTTTTCAATTCTTATCTTTTACACCTGAGACCAAATTGACACTGGCTCACTTAATGCCATGATTTATGATTTATAAAAAGCAATCAGAGTGGCTCAGCAGAGAACACAGGCAGGTGCAGTCGCCATAGGTAAGAGAGTGAAGCAGCAAAACTTCAGAGCCAGGGTGATTGCTAGAGCAAGGAGGCCAGTGACAGTAGCAGAGACTAGGGGCCAGAGGACACAGGGATAGGACTGGAGCCGAGGGCTGGGCAACTGAGGGCAGGGGTGTGGTTGTCAGGGAGCAACCCAGGCAGCCTGCAGTCTCCTGGAGCTCCCCTTTTTATTAGATAAAGAAACTCCATAAAATCCTTGTAGTTCACCTTAAAAACAAGTACGAGATTCTTCCCTGCATGGTCCCATTTTTGTTCTCATCTCTGAAATGGCTCCAAATTTTACCTTTTGAAAAAGCATGAACTAGTTTAAAACTGGTTTAGCTAGCCAAAGAAATGCCATTAAATAAAAGGATATCAGTAAAGAGCTGTTTTTTCCTCCCAGAGAAGAGATTTAAAATTTACTGGGTATCTTTGGACGAGTGCCTGAAATACTTCTCTGCCTTACCTAGCTCCTATTAGCCCCACCTTTAAAAAGTGGCCGAGTCCATCCCAACTGGACCCCAGAGAAGCCTATGAGCACAGAGGGCAGCTATGGCTTCTGGACCTTGCTCTAGAGTCACTGGCTTTGTACCATCCATGGCAGGGTCTCCATCCTAGGGACTGGGGGGTGTTAACTGGGAAAAAGGGGATGGGCCATATAGGGAGGAAAGGAAGAAGGAGGAGTTAAGATCTTTTGTTGGCTTTAATCCTAGTAATCAGTTGAAGAATTGGCAGTTTTTAGCATGTCTAGAATCCAATTTTAGGTTATGTGTCACTGGAAATCCAAAAGATACAGAAAACACCTTACTGCCCATGAACATCTAGCTGAGGAGGTAAGACATGCACAGTTGAGAAAGAGGACAGGTGAGGCTTTGGCCACTTGCCATTTGGGGTCAGAGCTGCTCCGTGGTGTGGCTGGCATCGGAAAGAATTGGCTTCACTTACGGGTGCTTTAGGTAATTTATTCTCTACTGTGTCGGGCCCGCAGCGTGTGTTCAGCAATTTTACTTAATACTCGACCAGGTAAAATAGCAGACTCCTGGATAGCTCAGCACAGCCTTACAATTCTGTACGTTAAGGGCAAATTGATTTTGCCATGGCTTCTCTTACAGTTGTCTCTATGTTAAAGGTTGGAGAAAGGACAGAGTGAAAGGTATTCTCCCTCAGTGCTCCAGTTACACATAAGGGGTAGTGTTTCTATTTCCTGCTCCCCTGCCTATATCATAGATAAGAAAAGTGAAGCTCAGAGAGGTTGAGTTAGTTGCTCAAGGTCACCTAGCCACTGAATCTGCCTCGTCCCAAGGTCCGTGCTTGCTTGCTTATTACAAAGAGCCTGAGAGGCTGTTTGGAAGCAGAAGCAGCAGCACAAGCCTAGCTCTGAGGGAGGTATGGGTAGGAAGACGGGGTCAGTTTAGGCCAAGAGCTATGGGAGAAGCCGGGAACTGAGGGGCTCAGGACTCTGTAGATTATTACTAATCAAATAATCAAAACTCTGTTGAAATAAATAGGAGAAATCCAAGGACAGGTGAATTTCTATTTTGTTCACTGCTCCCCGACCGTCCAACAGCTTTGCTAGGGCTCAGTCACTGTCTCCAGCTGAAGTCAGTTTCCTTGATCTTACTGATGTTGATCTTGCAGAGTTGTAAGTTACCCTTATCACTATGAAGAGGGGCTGCAGCCAGCAGAGCTCATTATGGTAGGCAGTGGCTCATCTGAGTCCAGCACATATCCTGTTTTGAATTCCACATAGACTCAATTATGAGAGGCATTCAAGGGAGACTTATTTTGGGGGTGGCCTTATTCTTTTTCCCCATGCTGGGCATAGGCAGAAGCATCTCTCAGTGTGAGCATCCTGCAGGCCACTGGGCGGGTTTACAGCTTTTCCCACACTTCACAGAGCACTGCTGCTTACAGTATAATTTCTTTTTTAATGTCTACAACAAGACTGGAAATTGGGCATGAATTAGGCATGAATGACAATGTTACCACATCTTAGGATGAGCAAAGGAAGGTCCCAAGAATGGAAGCTTTCTCTGGAGCTCACAGCTAGGGAGGCGTGAAGCCAGGGCTGGAGTACTGTGGTTGGAAATGAGTGTGATGCCCGCCTCCCTGCACGGCCTCACCCCGGCTGCCACCTTCCATCCACTCACATCTCCTGTCTTCTGAGCTCCACTGCTCATGTCAGGCTTCCTCCATGGCACCTTCCCACCTGTGTGACCCACCTGGACCTTTCCCTGCCATGCTGTGCCGCTCACACAAATACTTGCTGCCCCCAGGTTTTGGTGCTGGGACGCCCACTAGGTTGACTTAGTCTCTACTGTTTGCGCGTGTGGTTTTCCCACCAAGCCAGGCTCTGTGTCTTACCCATGCCGCTAGCATGGTGCTTGGCACACACATATTTTGAATTGAGGACTTGCTTTAAAACCGTCTTCCAAATTTCTGTGCCCTGGCAGCTCATAGTCAGGGAACAGAGAAGCGAAGACTTTAAGACTCCACTACCCTTTAAGGCCCATTAGGTGGGGTTTGCACCAGCACTGGCCTGTCTGTTCACACATCTCTCTCCCTGGGCCTGCCCACATCTCTCCTCACTTCTCACACTCAGCACTGTGTCCTTGCCCAAGTGCAGATTCTCCTCCACTGCCCCTGCCCCCATCCCAAAGCAGCCCAGGATCGCTGCCCGTCTATGTGCCTGTAGCTCTTCGTTCTTATTTCTATGATGGCATTATTCACATGAAAACCCTGCAGATGGATCTGAGTTCCTTGTCCATAAACCTGGCCCCTGCAGACAACCTGGCCCACAGCAAATATATTTGTACAATGAAGACAAGGAATGTGGCTTACACTGACAAGAAAGCTCTCACTGAAATTTATTAGACACTAAGGATTCTGTGGGAAACACCTGGAATCATTACCAAGGTAAAGAATAGGATGGGTTTTTGTTTTGTTTTGTTTTTAAACAGATGTCTTAAGTTGCTCTGAGGCAGTGAGAGGGCAATTTGCTGCTGGAGCAAAAACTTCCTCTGCCAGAGATTCAGGATCCACTGAGTTCAAGACGGCTTTGCAGCCATCTACCCCATTGCCCATGTTCATGCCCTCCTCCTCCCCTGCCGTGGCCTAAACAGGATCCCGAAGGCAGGGTGAGGGCTCCCTTTCCCTGCTCCCACAGCTCTTTGTGGGTGTGTGTCCTGTCTGGGAGCTAGTGTGAACTGTTGTCTCAGTGTGCTGTGTCCTGAGCCCCGGGGCTCCAGGAGGCTCCACTCTGATTTAGGCTTGCAACAGTGCCCAGCACGTGAGGTTTCAGTACAGTTTGATCCAGGTGTGAATATGTGAGCAGAGCCTGTGACCACGGCCTCACTCCCACTCTAGGGATAGGGTGTGGAGGGGATATGAGGAACGCTCCTCCTTCCAGTCTGCTCAAGGCTGTCTGCTCAGCACCCCTTTGAACCCCTTTCCCATTCCGATCCCTTCTGGGCTTTTTGCATGGGTGTGTATATGTGTGTTTACAAGTGTGTGCACATGTATGTGTGTATGTGTGTGTGTATGAGAGAGAGTGTATGTGTAAGTGAAGAATGGGGATGGTTATCTGAAAGCATCATAGGCAAACTGAAATATGAAAAAAAAAACTGTTTTATCGAAGCCTGGGGCCTCCTTTCTAGGTAACATGTGTCCCCCTGACAGAGCCAGCCAAGAAAAGGTGTGAACCCCTCATGATGGCAGTGACTGCATGCTTTTCAGGAGTAAGTGATAATCAGCATGCTTTTAGTTCTTGTTTACCCTGCACCCCATGTTGCTGCCTAGGAAGCTGAAGGAACACTGAGCTAGTGATTGAGAAAGGCACAGAAAGTGTGCGTGCATCTCCCAGAAATGTAACATCACACGTGTTGATGGTGGAGTTGCTTAGAAACCAACGCCTGAGGTGCAGGAAGCCACCGCATGCCCACGTCTTTGTGGCACTAAACCCTCTGCACTCTTACACCTAGAAGATCTAATCAGATGAAGGGGCAAGCTCCAGAAGTAATAATAGAAGCATGATTTGTTTCACCCCTAATTCCATTAAGAAAAACTGGCTGTATTCTTTGGATAGAGTTCAATGACAATTTGAAGAGTACTAGAGAAGCTAATAAATTCATTAATAGGAAAGATTGTTTTAGCTAGACAAAAAGGTAATACACTTCATTGTAATAGTTTAATTAGAAAAATAATAAACTTCCTTAGGAAGGATGAAAGCCCATAATTAAAAAGATGAGCTATTAGGAGGAATTCTGAATATTACCTCTTCTCAGATTTGTTCCTAGTTGCTCTATTCATGGTCCAAAAGCACTTAACAAGCTGAGGAATTAGTGGAAAATGTACTTACCTTCAGCTCCAAAGCAGGAACTTTCTAGCCAAAATGACCGAGAAGGAATGAGCTCTGAGAGAAAAGCAAGCAAATAGACCTTGGACCAGGAAGGGCCGGAACACATGCATCACAGGGAGAGACAGCTAGATTGTTATCATTACCTTGAATAAATGTCATCCGACATGAACTGCATATTTCTGGTAATGTGAAGTTAGAGAAATGGAAAGACACAGGCAGATTAAGACATAATTTCCATGAACTCAGCTAGTCAAGGTTGCTTGCAGTGTTTATGGCAATGTTTACAGCAGATTATGGAATTGTAATCTTGCTCTTTTTAAATGTCACTTAAGAGCTGTATTTAGTTCTAAAAATAACTAAGGAATTAAACAAATTGGGTTTTTGAAAAAATGGTTTTGGAAGAGTTTGTTTTAAAACTTGCAGCAAACTTCTCAAGACATCTTGCAAACATTTGGCTCATTAGTCTCATTGAGAAGAAGGGAATAGCCCCATTATCCATATTTCACAAGACTAAACAATGAGACTGAGGGAACTGTGTGCTCAAGTGCACATATGACGCATGGGCCCAGACGAGAAAAACCCTGTGTTCTGCCAATGCTTCTCCGTCCAAAAACTTCATAGAAACTGCCATAGATAAGAGCCATCATTCAAAGCAAAATTATTCCATTTTAGGGTGCAATACTGAGTGTTTTCTGCTTGCCAGGGCCTGCAAGAAGGGGCCGCTGCTGGTGTCAGTCACAGCCACAGGAATGTTGAAGTGTGGAGTTGGCCCAAGTTTTGGGATAATCTTGGGTTTTGGGGCTGGGGCCAAATCAGTGGCTGTTTCTGAAATGTGAGCTTCAGCCCCAAGCTAAAATGTGTTCACATGTGGGTGGTCTGGAAAGGACTGAGGAGAGAGGCCTGAGTTGAATTTGACAGGCGGCTAAACACAGTTTTATAAAGTGGTTTTCCCTGGCCTGCCACTGAGGCAAAGTGTGTTGTTCTCAGGAACTCACAGACCCAGGGTCATGCCAGGTTTTGACTGTTTCTGAGTAGGTGTGTGCCCTGCAACATGCCCTGCAGCTCAGACCAGTGCGTTCCACATGCCTCTTTCCCCTTTCCAGAGTCACGTAGTTTAGGTAACACAGAAAAGCAAGGCATTGCCTCCGGAAGGCTACTGTATTATCTGGAAAAGTAGAGACAACTTGCCCTTAGCTCTTGGGCTTACAGAAGCACAGGCCCTTTGTGGGAGATCTATGGATCTCATTAGCTGGTTGAGAAAACTGGTGGCCAGCCCCGGGGAGTGGGACATCAGGTAGGCTGCAGACAGTGGGAACACTGTCTGGAGAAGGTGAGCCTCAGCCAGTCCTCTGTGTGGGACCTGGGCCACTCTGATTGGGAGAGACAGAGAGAGACTTCCAGCAGGTGGAAGGTTGCCTAGGGGTTTAGCTAAGCCCTGCAAAGAGAGTAGCTGTTGCTATTTTATTCTTCCATTTTGGGGGCTCATCTCTCTCCAATTTTTAGAGAAAAGAGGGCAAATATCTCTTGGGAGAAGCAGAGTAGAAATGACAAAGGATTTAGAGCCAGAAGACTTGGGATCAGAGTTCTGATGCCAGGCCTCTAGGACTCCATTGCCTTGTGTAAAGTGGGCTGTTGTGAAGATTGAGATCAGGTTTGTAAGAGTACTCAGGGAAATGTAAAATCATATACCAATACCTGTGGTTTTATTATAACCTGGTCCAAACACTCTTGAAATAGTGGTCTTTTAAAAGAAATATCTTTGCTATAGGGAAACCCATTCAGCTGGTGAACATTGAAAAGGAAACTTATAAGCAGAGATGCTGGCAGATGAACTCTGATGACCATGTTACAACTGCGCCACCATTCCATCACCAGCCCAGTCTCTCTCTCACCCAAAGAGACAGAATGGAAAAGGGGAATTTTAGGGAGCATTCAAATGGCTCCTGTATGAACCCTTTTTTCTCTTCTCATACAATTGTATACAACTCGGTCACTTTCACAACTACAACTTCCTCCCCAGTGCTGTCTCTCTTACGGAAAAGCTAAAGAGGCAGAGACAGGAAGAGAGGGTGGGGGAGGCTTGGGAGGCAGAGGAAATGGGAGGGAATTGGAATGGGGCAACAGAAAGGGACAGAAAGAAGAGACAGGGCCAGGGATCTGTCTTTTGTGTTTGCAGGACCGCGCCATTCTGACACAGAAAAAGCTGGAGTTGGAAGTTAACTCACAAATGTCTTTGCTGAAATCTGCAGTTGAAGCAATGGTAATAATCCATGCTGGGTTTCCTACATGCCAGCCATGGTGAATGTTCTCAGTGCTATACATATGTCAACGTTTACTCTTCACAGCACATGTGTGAAGTCACCTTACAGACCCCATTTATAGATGGGGATCTGAGAAGTTCAGCAGCTCTGAAGAGGCTATGATAGTACTTAAGATTTCCCTGTAAGAACGATGAGGAGTCTAGACTAGGATGACATGAACTGATTCAGGCTTTAAAGGATCCTCTCCACAAAGAATGGGTTATAGGGACCAGAGGGGAGACAGGACAGTGGTAGAGCTGGGTGCCTGTTGGGAGCTGCTTGAGGAGGGAATGGAAAGTGAGAAGACAGCAAGCATGGACAAGCTTTTATAAAACATTTATATTCAATTTTAAAATTAATATTGTATATATTTAAGGTGTACATGATATTTTGTGTGTACACTCACAGTGAACAGATGACTGCAGCCAATCTACTGAACATACCCATCCGTTCGCAGTTGTCTGTCTGTGTGTGCAGTGAGAACACTGAAGATCTGCTCTCTTTGCACATTTCAAGCATACAACACAGGATTAGCCACAGTCACCATGCTGTACCTCTGGCCTCCAGGACTTACTCCTTCTGCACCGCTGAAACTTCATGCCCTTTGACCAGCATTGCCCCAGGTCCCCACCCCAGGCCCTAGCAGCCACCCTTCTCCTCTCTTCCTAAAGGTTTGACTTTTTAATTATTCAACATAGAAGTGAGATCAAGACATGGTGAGGGCTTTCAGTTTTGATGTGAGAAGACGCAGAGCGGGAGTGCATAGGGAATATTTTGATATGGGAAGGTGTGGATGGGGAGTGGATAGGGAGTAAGTGGGGCCTGCCTTTTAGGAAAAGACCTCCTGGGTAGGTAGCTTGTGTGGGGATGGGACTATCCAGCAGAAAGCATGGGCTTGGTCAGCAGGTCACAGTGCAGCGGAGATGCACACACGTTCCTGAGTAGGCAGGGGGTGGATCCTGAGGGCTAGAGGAAGGGGTGACCTTGGCCAGAATGGCGAGACAGCGGGCACAGTTGTAGGGAGCCCATGGCCTGGTGGTGGGGAGATGAGGGCCTGCCTCTTGATTGCGTATTTTGTCACAGAAGTACAAGGCAATCTTATTTTGGTCTGATATATGAACAATTGGGTAATTGCTCCAATATCTGAGCTACGCAAGTAAAGTAGGAAGTGTATTTGACATCCGAGCGTGACCAACAGGGCTCACTAAAGCCTTGCCACCCAGCCTAAAGAGGACCAGCCACAGACACAAATGTAGCTCCCATCCATAAAGCCAAAGGAAGCACATTTCTAGCCATTTTAAATTTCCCATTTGGACCCACTTTTCAGTCTTCAAGGGAATATTTTGAAATCCATTTGCAGAACACCTCCACTTGCACAGAAAGCTCCACAATAATAATTGGCACAGAGCTGGTGCTCAGCAAGATTTTCCTTCTGTTCCTGACTTCCTTTGCTTTTTGAGACACAGTCTGACTGTGTCACCCAGGCTGGAACGCAGCAGTGGGTTCTTGGTTTATTGCAGCGTCAACCTTCCAGGCTCCAGAAATCCTCACACCTCAGCCTCCCGAGTAGCTGGGACTACATGCATGTGCCACCATGCCCAGCTAATTTTTGTATTTTTTGTAGCAATGGGGTTTTGCCATGTTGCCAAGGCTGGTCCTGAACTCCTGAACTCAAGTGATCTGCCCACCTTGGACTCTCAAAGTGCTGGTATTACAGGTGTGAGCCACTGCCCTTGGTCCCGGTTCCTGACTTCCTGTTAGCCCTCTGTTAATTAGATTTCTAAATGCACTGGCCTTTTCATCCTCACACCAATCGCATGCATTGCACAAAGGATAATGAAGACTTATCAATTCATTTCCTCATTTATTCCGCTCTCATTTGATAAGTCTGTACCATGCGGCTGGCACTGTGTGGATGCTGGGGATGCAGATGTATGACATAGCCTCTGCCCTAGAAGAGTTCAGTATGTAGCTGGAAAGAAGGACCACATAGGTATAAGTGTGCCACACAAGTGATAAGTGCTAGATCCAAAGTATATCTAAAATATTTGGGGAACTCTGATGTTAAAGTACCTATTCCTCCTTTAGGTGAGCATAAGGACGTCTTCCTATGTTGTTTAAGTTGCATTGTGAGGGGTAAATAGGATTTTGCTAAGCAGATATGGTCGGAAGAGGATCACAGGAGATGCAGAAAGCAATCATGAAAGTTCATGTGAGAGGGTCTAGGAGGAGTGGAGAGTGAGCGGGGAAGGGCGACGGGAAGGAAGTGCCTGTCATGGTGGTTCACAATATGCACTGTAGAGCCAGACTGCCCACGTATGGGTCTTGGATCTGCAGCTGATTTTGAACCGGTTATCTCACCTTTCCAGGCCTTTGTTTTTTAGTTTCCTTCTCTTTAAAATAATATCAATATTTCCCAGTTGTGGCAGAGACACTCTGCTCACCAAACATCACATGTGCTCTTCCAGATTGCTCAGTTTTTCTTATAATTGGGTTAGGAATGACCATGTGACTAGTTCTGGCCTTAATGCACTGTGTGTGGAGTGTCAACTCCAAGCTGAGCTGGTGAAGTACCCGTGTGACTCACCTGTCACTTTTGTTTTTCCTTGTGCAGGCACCTTGGAGGCCATGTGTTTCATGTGATAGAACCACGGGAGCCTTTGTGTGGTAAGCTATTGATACTTTGGGGTCAGTTTGTTACTGCAACTTAGTTTGCCCTATCCTAACCGGTACATCACCAGTTAGCGCTGTTACAAGAATCAAATAAGCGAACTTGTAAAGCATTTAGAACAACACCTGGCATATAGTGAGTGCTATACAAGAGTTTTTAAAACTA